CACCCCCCACCCCCTCCAAAACAAAACAGAACAAACAACCTTTTAACACTGTATTTGTTAAACATGTGAGCATATTTTTACGATTCCCTTTTCCTCCATTTTGTACATTGTTTTAGTTTTTTGACTACCATACGTATTTGCCTTTCACATTTTTCAATGTAGATGTGCCTATAAGATTCTAACGAATAAATATACGGAAACGTGTTTGTCTTATTTGTGTCAGGACTCGTATGTCACCTCGGGGTGGTTATTTGGTTGTCATACCCTCGTCATAGCCGTGGGTTTAGACAACGATTTGGAGATATCTTCGTCAAAATCCTAGAGTTTTATTTTTCCTCTAAAAATCCTGTTAAAAATGAGTTTAAAAAAAACAATATTCAAATGAAAAAAAAACACCTTTATAATAATATCACATTCTGTCTAATATTCTATTTCAGGCAACGAATTCTTTAGACCGATATCTAAGGAAACACATCAAGGATAAAACTCTTTGTGGGACGAACTTCTTTGTGATTAGGAAACGAGTTGTAGATCCAAGTGGAACTTTGGTACGTTTGTTTGTGGATGTTTTATGTTATTTAATTTTAGCATTTTCTCATATTTTTATTTTAACGAAACAAAACCTGATCGACGACCGTTTATTTTCATAATTTTTCAATGAATATGTTTGGGATCCCGGTCGCATCGGACACAAAAGATTTTCATTATATTTTTTCGGAGTTCGAATCTCAGCCTGCCCTGTTGTAAGTTTCACTCTCTTGTTTCATAATCTAGAAAACTGTTATTGAACCTTCGTTGGCCTACTGTTCAGATGGTATTATTCGCTGAGATTTCAATTCACTATAATCTTCGTTATCAATTATTGTGCAAATCGTCCATACATTTTTTTGTCCGTTTATAAGTATTGAATGTTTACTTCACGGAATAACATCCAATTAATTTCGCTCAATATTCCATGCGAAATATATTTCTGATTGGGATAACCGTAAAATATTGGCATGGCGGAATGAAACAACTATGGAATTTTGAATATTTGAATTATTGAATTTACATTATTATTATTTTTTTTCCATTTTCTAGTATAAATGTGAATTGTTCTTCTGTTTGACGGTAAATTTTATTTGAACAATGTTTCAGACGCCTTTGGTGAAATATCGGCGTTAATTATCCTTGTACCTGTCTTTAATCAAATACAACACGGCTCCTTGTCAGGTAGGTCACCAGACACCAGAGTCTAGTCAAAGACAGGATTTCAGAATTTGATGTGTATTTGGTTGCTTGTTTTGCCTAAAGAAGAGCCATGCATATTAAATGAACTTTTTGCGGATGTTTAAGCTCACCTCCCTTCCCCTAACCATGCAGACAAACAAATACTTGTACCTTTCTTATGCATTGCATTTGCATAAGATTCACTTTGTTCACTAATTTGTGAATAACTTTATTAATGACCATAACAAAGTTGAAGGAAAAGTAGTGGTCTGTAAAGTTATTGAACCTAAGTCGATCTGAAGTGTAATTTGTCCCCTGCGTTTGTTTTTAGCTCTTTTACATCAAATACTGAGACAGTAGGTGCTTATTTTGGAGTTTCATTTTTTGTCAAGTTGCGTCACTTTTATATATATGCGGTCTAATAGTTAAGAACATGAATACAGCAACGTTTTAATATCATCATGTTGTGTTTTAAAACATCAATATGCTTCTGTGATATAAAATTAAAGTAAATGTTGTGCACCGGTCTGCTGCTCGTTAATGTAATAATAAAAAAGATGAATCGTTACAATGCATATATTCTGATGACGTCACGTTTTTGACAGCGTCAAAATAGAAATAATTTTAACAAGGAATAAAAAGGGTGCACTTGTTGCCTTTTGCCGAATTCTGCCTGCTGTCAGGTCACGTGTTTCCCATGCGAAAATAACATGCTGAAAAAGATATTATAAGTTGGAATAAATGACGATGTAAGCATAACATGTTCTGTAATTCGTAATTGAACCTACATATATACTCCTTTTTGTACAGCGTTTCATGGAGAACCAACTGACAGAGCTATGTCGAACACAAATATCTGCTGACGAGATCAAGGTAGGGGCAAAAACACCTGCAATTTATTCGAAATACAGAAACTAGTTCATGTTGCTGTATTTGTGAGGTCAATACACTACAAAACAGCTAGGGATTTAATCTACGCTGAAAATATCATTATGGTTATATTGATGTATCCTCCTACATTGACGAATGGCATATCTGCCGATTGAAATTCTTCTTCTCTGTTTGTCGTTAACATGGAACTAGTAATTTTACCATTGTGTAGCAAGTCTACATTTTACCTTCACAAACAAGTGCTATATAAATACTTCGTCACCTATAACTCCATGGGAACCACAAACAACCTGAATTTGATATTAATCATTGTTCAGCAACAGCCATATTGAATACATTTAATTGACACAGTCATAGTGTATAGACTGATTTTCGACAGTTTAACAGGAATTATAGAAAGTCTGCTATTTTAATACAAGTATCTCTTTGTGTCCACAAGGAAAGGAGTGATAGTTTTATACTGGAAGCGATTTGGACATACTACAATGATCCGGTGACTATTCCAAAGGAAGGCCTGCCTCGCCACTCAACCTATAACGGAGTAAACTGTTTGTGCCAACTTGTTGAATTAAGTACGATGTACAGAAACTTTACAGCAAGGATCCAACTAAAAAACATGGTAAGATATTTACACATATAGTATCATTGTTATTTGTTAAAAAAATATATCCAGATGAAGACTTCTTTCAAATAAATGTATAAGGCAATTTTGACATTTCTATTTGTCATGAAATGGTTCAAACAGTTATTTAGCTAACCTGGCCCGAAGAGCCAACTAATGTACTGCCGTGGCACGACGTCCGTTGCCGTCTGTCAGTCCGTCCGTCCGGTGTAAACGTTTAATGGGTAATTATTTTTAGATTAAAGCTTGTTTTAGTCCAGTTAAAAAAAAGTTGACCTTGGTCCTCTTTAAGGTTTCAAGTGTAAGTGTAATGTGTCCTGTGACATTTGTGTTTGATATATATTCGTGTTTATGGCAAATTGAAGGAAAATCATAGAAGAAAATAAGAAAAGGTCCCTTCACGGGATATTCTTAAATGAAGATGTTTTAAAGGATTTAAAACAGCTTCTTATAGTGTTTTGATGTCAATAAACATTTAATGCAATGCATGTCTATTTTGGTAAACTCCATTCAAAAGATAATGGAGTTTTCAAAAATTTATTTCAAACAATCACTCATACGTTTTTGCTGTCTTTTTTAGGAATGCTGATCAATAACCTTCTGTCAAAGATTCCAGAAAAACTGAACGCTTTACAGTTAGGCTTTTGCCTACAACAAACTAAAACATAACATTATTTGACATAGCATTGAAAACAAGTATTTCTGTTTGGGAAAATCATACAAGGAAACTGATTGATTAATAAGTGAATAAGGAACTTACATTGTATTTCTCAAAGCACGTGAAAAATAAAATGCCGACCGTTTTGTGTTATCTGATCAAGAAGGTGCCCACAGTCCATGTATTTTGTGTAATTCTGTTAAGAAATTGTATTTATTATATATTTTACTTATGATATAGGAAGTTTGTGTTAGTAAAGGGAACGTAGATATCAAATCCCGACATTAAAAGCAGAACGTTGAAGAGTTAGAGGCAATACCAGTACAATATAAACAATAAAATGTATGTAAAACGTATATTGAATGAACACGAAAAAGGTTGCGAAAGGATAAAGGTAGTCCAAATATGATGACGTGACTTATCACGTTATAACGGAACGTAATAGCATTTTAATTATATTCAAAATTCAGCTCCTAAACATTTCCGTGGTATTGGAATTTACACTAGCTATGCCCTAGGCATTTGATTAAGAAAAATAGACGTATTTTCACCATGTTTACTTAATAATGACTATTACACAGTAAAACTTCATTAAACTGCCAGAATTTGTCCAGAGAAAATTAAGCGTTATAAAGTGGTTTGGTGATAATTTGAGGGAAATAGTAAAGGAGCAAAAGACACATATTCAGTATTAATCAAAAACAATGTTCAACCTACTGCTCAAAGAAAATGGATCTTAAATGATAATATAGATGATGAAACAAGGAAAGAAATATGAATGTCCTTTAAAATCCACCACTAACTCCAAACTACAGTGGTAACAGAACAGAATAAACCAAAGAATCCTCACTACAAACACATGTTTATTCAAAATTGGCAAATCACACAATTACCTTTGCACTTTCTGTAAAATTCACCCTGAGGTTGATGGCTAATTGACGAGCTGAAAACAAATATTATAACTAAAAACCTTACATTAAGATTCGATAAACAAGAACTCACTTTTGGTAAACATACATATACACATTCAACGTTTTATTTAGAAAACATCATAATACTACTTATAAAATAATACATATATAAAGCTAAATGCCTAGAAATAGACCTTAATCTGACTAATCTCTAAAACCATATGAAATTTGCATTAAAAGCACAAAAGATCCTTGTGTCTAAACAGAATAAATAAATAAATAAGGATGAGTTATCAAAAAGATAACTGGATGCAGTTATAAATGACTTATCATGACATATTTGTTCTATACATATATATCACATATTCATTCCAAACATATATACGTCTATTGTACTAAATCATCTCCTCACTGTAATAATAATCATCAACTTTCTCATACATTCTAATTCGCTAGGCTTCACTAAAAATAAAATGACCTAGGATTTGCTACCCCATCCCCTGTAATGTATTGTGTTTTGTTTAGTTTTTTGTTTTTGTTACGGTTTATTTGTTACAGTTTATTTGTTTATACTCTTGTGTGTTTGATGTCATAGGTTTATATGTATTGTTCTTGCATCAGAATGCATCAGATGATGATGATGATGATGAAGATGGTGATAAGGATGATGATGTTAAGAATAATGGCAGGATGATGATGCTGATGATGAAGATTTGGTTATGCTCTTGTGTGTTTGATGTCATAGGTTTACATGTATTGTTCTTGCATCAGTGTCTCGGTATATATGTCTTAATATATGTACATGGCATTGGCAATGTTTTTAATGTCTGCTTATGATATCAGATAAAAATGATGACAAAGGATAAGGATGGCTGATGATGATGAGGATGAAGTAAAACAATAATGATGATGATGATGATGTCAGATAATAATGATGATAATAATAAGAATAATATCATATGATGATGATGACAACGATGATGATGACGATGATGATGATGATGATGATGATAATATTAAGAATAATATCTTTCATGATGATGTTGACGATGTCATATGATGTCAGATGATAATGATGACAAAGGATAATGATGGCTGATGCTGATGAGGATGATGAGGATGATGCAAAACAATGATGACGGTGATGATGTCAGATAATAATGATGATAATATTAAGAATATTATCATATGATGATGAAAATGATGATGATGAAGACGACGATGATGATGATGATGTCATATGATGTCAGATGATACTGATGATGATATCAAGAATAATATCATATGATGATTATGATGACAACGTTGATGACGACGACGATGATGTCAGATGATAATGATGATAATATTAAGAATAATATCATATGATGATGATGACAATGATGATGACGACGACGATGATGATGATGTCATATGATGTCAGATTATACTGATGATAATCTTAAGAATAATATCATATGATGATGATGATGACAACGATGATGACGACGACGACGATGTCAGATGATAATGATGATAATATTAAGAATAATATCTTTCATGATGATTATGATGACGATGGTGTCCGATGATGTTGATGATGTCATATGATGACGATGGTGTCCGATGATGTTGATGATGATGATGATGATGATGATGATGATGATGATGATGATGATGATGATGATGATGATGATGATGATGATGATGATGATGTCAGATGATGGTGATAAGGATGATGATGTTCAGAATAATGTCAGGATGATGATGATGATGAATATTTGGTTATGCTATTGAAAACAAAATTATATATGAAATATGTGTGGCATTATGTCGAGGGTTAACTTATATATTAAGTATGCCCTACGCAAATTGTCTCAAGCAATGTTACTTATAACTGGTCTACATTAAATGGTAATCCTTGAATTATACTTACTATACCGTCTTAAAAGTTTTAATATTATTTTTTCCGTTCCTGCAAAAATGGCCACATATGTGCAGATTCCATGTGTGTAAACGTTAAGTACATGTGCAATGATCAAAGGTTTGCGGACGGTAACAGAATACTGTCATACATACATATGTAGCTACAATACGTCAGAAACATTTGTTCTAATTTCTGATCATTATTTAATTAGTTCAATTCATCATTTGTTGACTAACCATCGAAGTTAAAGTGGGTTTTTTTTCAAATAAATATGTTTTCTCTTTTAAAACCTAGGGAAATCAGAGTATGTTCATACTTTATCAATTCATCAATCATATAACCATGTGTCTTATAGACATAGGAAATAACATAGATTTCAATTACATCCATATACTTTCTGTTCATATTGAATATCGTATTAAACACCATTTATTTTGAAAAATGTTGACAAAGCAAATATATATGTATACATATATAAAAGAAATAGCAAGATTTTCATTAGTATTCCCTAGTAAAAAACCTCTTTACAACTTCATCACGGATTGTGTTTACTTGCGTTGCCAGGCCAACACTGTACATACTTTTGTATATATCCCTTTTCTCATAATCGTTGATACATAATGTGTATTATATAGGTTGTTTAAATTGATGTTCTAACAGCTTTTCCATCTTTTAACCTAAGGGGGAATACATTACCGATTCTAAAACAGACGCAGGCATATTCCATTTTGAGTACCGCTGTCTAATAAATGTCACCGAACTGTTGGTTTGCTAATTGGACGTTGTTTGAGAACAATAATTAAATCGAAAATTTGGAGATATTCCCCCAGATGATATTTGGATATAACGGAAAAAGACATTGGTAGTATACTACACCCGTACATGATTACATTCTAGATTGGTTACACGCGTTACCTCAACATTACACTACAACAGCTGATACGCATAATTCATTTGAGTCAAATGTTTTGATTCTGCTTGGAAGCATACTTGAGATAACTTAATTCAAATACAGATATTATGATATTGTATCCATGTTTTCACTATGTTTCGAGCAGAACCTGTCTGAAAGATACCACTGTCGGCTATGTGAGGCAAATACAAATCGGATGTATAATTCCTAGAAGAATGAAACAGCTGTACGATGCAGTGTTCAGTTTTTGGCATACTGTTTCTGTTTCCAAATTTCAAAGGTGCAGTAACCGTGGTGTGTGTTATGGTGGCCACAGTTATCTCTTCTGAGTAGTGACAGGGTTGATACAGTTATCCAGTTCTCCATTAAAGTTACGCACCTGCCCCTCAGTTTTAACTGTAGTTTAGACTATTCAGATTTCCAACATTTTGGCCCTAGCATCACCGTTGAGACCTAGAAGGACGCAACCCCTTTACGATGCAGTGTTATTCATTTTTTGTCCTTCTGTATCTATTACAAATTGTTTAAATCAAATAAGCACTCACCTGTGTTTGTGTGAAACGTTCATTGTTCATATAGCGAGAAATGGTATTTTCAAATTAAACATTAAACTGCTTTCAGATGACATTAATAGTCATTACAAATGTCAAATGGGACGCTGAAAATTAGATATATTAATAGGAGTTGAGTATATTTGCTTCAGTAGGTCAATTATTGTGTATGCTTTTCAACAGCAAGTAAGTAGTATCCAAAGTTACAGATATAACGTTAAAATAATGTTCGTTGCAGTAGTAAATGTATGGGAAAGGTTTTCTCTCTCATTTCTCTGTGTGTAAGATAGAGCTGTCTAGGCTAAGAAAGGGGTATAGGAACCTTCTATCCGAAACAGAAAATTTGTTTGCAATATGGAGTATGCTTAATCTCGCCGACAGATTCGTTTTCGTCAAAAAAGCTTCGGGGCAAAGTTGAAATTTTCTTAATGGTAGCCAGTCCAAACGCATTTTCATTGTTTATGAGCTTATTCTGGTAGTTGGAATGAGAAAAAAATACTCTCTCATGCCCGAGGGTGTAGGATAAAGAAATTCCACCTTCGGGATTTGCAAAACCCCTCGGGTAGAATTTCCCTATCCTACACCCTTGGGCATGAAAGAGTTTTATACTTTTCATTGCTTAAAATCTTCTCCTGAAAACATCTCTACAACCACTGCACTGATCCATTATAAAGTTTATACTAGGCTAGTGTACTCGTTGATCCGTTTGCATTAATCATTGACACAAATAAATTCACCTAAAAATTCTCAATGCACATATTCTTATTTTTGCTGGTTCACAGTTTGTACATCATTCCAATTATCTCCGATCCTTCGTACACACATCAGAACACTTGTGCCCTAGTTGTTACTGTTGTCTTTTTTAGAATTCTTACTTATAACATTTGTCCTGTAATTATGAAAGCATATGTCCACAAACACAGCTATTTCAATATCAGGACGTTACTGACCACATTCTACATTTGACCTTACAGCGTTTTCTGTCCAATAAACCATAATGTCCTAAAATATGAACAGAAAAAGACACAGAAGATCTGTATCAAGCATAAGTATAAACGTAGAGTACTCAATTGTTATCAATTAAGGACCCCTGTCCCACTGTTCTGTGTTTTTCCGTAGATTAATAGAATCTTCCCCTACCTTTAGGGTGTGATAGAGAAATCTCCAACCCGAGGGGTGATGTTTTTTGGTTGTCTAACCCGAGGCTCTACCGAGGGTTCGACAACCAAACAATCCCCCCGAGGGTTGGAGGTTTCTCTGTCACATCCACAAGGTAGGGGATGATTGTTTTTCTCCCATCCTATTATTTACGTCACAGCTCCACCGAAAGTAGTGTTAACAAAAATACATGTAGGGTATGAATAACGTCATTAATAACCGGTGACGCATTTTGATGACGTCACAATTGAACACATGGTATTCGGCACGAGGCTATCTTCCCCTAGGGGGTGCCAGCTGATCTTTCTCGGCTAAAACAGGAGACACAAATGGGAAGGGTGTGAGAAAACGTAATCTTCCCTTTATTTCGGTTGTTGAGATAACAGTGGAACAGCTGGTCTAGCATACTGGCGCTGACCGGGAATCTCAGTCGGTTAGACAGAGTAAAAACGTTATTTTTTCTTCATACGGTTCCAGCGAGGTATATTTTTTATGTAAACAAATTACGTGTCAAGCTATAGTCATACCGGGAACAAATCATGCATCGATAGCATGTTTTCGAATTTTGGCAATGGTGCGATAATCCATAAGATGACATTGGTTTACTTAATCCTTGTAGATAAACTTTCAAAGATAGCTGTTTATAGAATGATACTAAGTGTTGTTCTATGCAAGCAGATGTATTGAAAAGGTTTTTGTGGGTTTTCTTTCGAGTACTCCGGTTTCCTCCGTATTGGGGTCACCTGCCCGCCCACGTGGGTTATATNCCCCCCCCCCCCCCCCCCCGGTTATATCCGGGTTTTTCGGTTTCCTCCGTATGGGGGTCACCTGCCCGTCCACCAGGTTTATTTCCGGGTGCTCCATTTTCCTCCATATAAGGGTCACCTGTCCGCCCACGCGAGTTATTTCGGGGTATTCCGGTTTCCTCCCACATTAAGACCTGTGCGCTAGCCGCCGGGCTGATAGGAGTGCTTATAGTAAATTGATATTACGTGTTTGTCAGTTGTTGTAAAAAACAGATAAAGTTTAATTTGATTTAAATCTTAGTTAAAAAGATAACGCAATATATGGTCATTCCAGTAATTATATACAATTGTATATTTATCTTTGTATTGCGTACACTATTTAGATCTAAATTTGTTTTTGTTTGTATTTGAATAGACTTTATACTTATTTGATGCAGTATTGATGAGACACGTCTTACTTGTATTGCACACACTGAGCTGGTGTATGAAGTCAAAATCACTCAGTTTTCAAACAAAACAACAATTGAATTATAAACTGTACACTGCACGCCAATAGCTTCACGCAAATCCGAGTAGGCGGGGGTTTACTTAAAGGAGTGATGTTTTATATTGGTTATTAAATGAAAAAACCGAATACTATACACGTGATCAATTATAAAACAAGAAACCCAACTGCCTAGCGGTCATGAGTTGTAAAAAACTAAAATTAAACCATCATTGCCTGATCTACAAAATTTAATATTATTATTGTCATCTAATGACCACAGCTTTTGCAGGAAATAAGCCTCTTTATTAAAAAGTCATTTGAACTGAGGAAGGCAGGCTTGCAGAATGCATAAGTATATAGTTTTTGCTGTCCATTATATAGTATCAATGTTTGTTTGATGTTTGCAGCTCGATCCTTGTAAATTGGATGTAAAATGCAATAAAGTTGATTGTAATATCTGCTTGTTTCCTTATTTGGACTGTTAAGTGAAACGAATCACTTGTACAAGGGTAAACGAAACAGAACAAAAACTTTTATCATGAATTATTTAAGCCTTTTAACCTGTCCCCCTTTGTCCCTGACCATTTGGCTTCAGGGATGGGGCAGGTTCCTATCTTTTCATATTGTGTACACTGTTATTGTCATAATTAAAATGATTTCATCGAAACTTTAATTCTTCCTCTTCTGAAAATGGGGACCATATTCATGAAGTCAAAATAGGCAAAATAATTGCCTATCCCTGTATAAACTATAGTAAACGTAACCCACCTCCTCAAAGAAGAACGAATGCGCTGGGGTGGGATGGGGGTGTAACAAAATTACATCTTTGATAAAGGACATCAGAACCTATCAATCTGTGAAAATTATTGGACTCTAAATTTAAATGTGGTGAGGAATATGTTTTAACTTATATTTTTCCTGCTTTATCCCCACCCCTCCGATCCCAGGGGTGAGGTATGATCTTATCATCGGCTCAAGTGATCTATAAACTGCATTGGACCATTTTCTGAAAAGTGTTATTCTCTGAATGTTATCTTTAGAGGCATCCTCTGGCACCTTTGCTTTGGGTAAACGCCTGAAAGATAAATAGATATTTTGATAGGCAAGAACCCTGGTATTCGAACTATGGACAGAAGAATATAATCTTTATATGTTTTAAAACGATTATGAAACAAGTTATTTCGACTTATATTAATCGCTCCTGTTGGCCCGGATGTTAGCGTGCGGGGGGTCTTAATATGGGAGGAAACCGGAATACCTGGAGAAAACCAATGTTAACGTGTAGGTAACCCCATACCTTTTCACGTCCGATCGGGGAATCGAACCCCAACCCTCTTAATGAAAGACATCTGTGTTACTGTATCCATTGCACCATCCGACCACCCTTGTTGTTAAGAACCTGATTGCATTTAGCTTTAGTTTTTTAATCTTATGTTGAAACTATTATCGATTTTTATGATAGTTAGTAAATAGTCATATGAACCTTACACGATGATATCGACGTAAGCTTCGCTCCAGTCAATGCTAAATTTTAGGTTCATATCACATCATATCCACCATCAAAGTAATTCGTGAATAGAGTTTTATTCTCTCTCCCGTTACACTCGCACTTTACATTTCTATCCTTTCAGTACAACAGGGCGTCACAATCGTATGATATTCGAGATCAGCCCATTTCATCATTCATGAATGGATGTACATGTACACGAGCTAGTATGTAGCCATTCATGGGATTGTAAAAACCATCTATAAATAGAACATGTTTATAAATACATGGACAGGAAAACCATCTGATAAAAATAAACATGTTGAAATAAAGGAAACCAGCGTAGTATTTAAGCCGATGATCAAAGAGTAGGTAGATCGTACCGGATCAACCCTTGGCTAGCGAAGATGCCGCTACACTCGCACCTTACATTATAGCTCAACAGGGCGTCACAATCGTATGATATTCGAGCACATCTCATGATTCATGAACGGATGTACATGTACAGGACCAAGTATATATATGCAGCCATTCATGTGATTGTAAAACCCCAAACTATAAATAGACCAGGAAAATATATGCTAAAATTAAACATCTGATAAAAATGAACATTCTGGCATAAAGGAATCCAAAACTAGTATTTAAGCCGATATCAACCTGCTTTCGGCAGTTTAAAAACCAACATGGAATCTGAGGCTGGTGAATCGTGTGAAAATGCTGCTAATTTACAGACAAGAATTGTTATTGAGGATAGATTGAATGAGGAAATCAATGAAAATACACCTGACGAAGATTATTGTTTGCGGTGTCAAGCATCAGAGCGTCTCGGTATATATTCTGCTAAAAACGGATATTGTGTAAAAGTATTGCAGTCGTGCATTATGACAAAGCAGGGATGTGTCTGTGTCCTCTTTCTGTTATTGATGTTATTTGGAACAGGAATCGGTATCGGTATCTCCTTGTCCAGGATGCAAACAGAAGTTGTATGTCTAACACCCCTGGGACAACATGAGAACACAAACAATTCATCAAAGATACTGCAGGTAAATGCTGATTTTTTGCCGTTGCAGAAAAGTATATAACTTATATGATAATATATTAATATATGACATATGAATATATAATATATATTTATAAATAGTATATGATATAATGATATATTAATTTATGATATGCTATTAATGCCTACTCTCATTACTACAAGATTAATGTTATTTAATTGCATTCTGAACGCAGAATGACCAGGATCAGCAAACGACCAATTAAAATAGTGTCGTTGCTTTATAAATACACTGAGGAGTTTTAGAGCGACCCATAGTAACTGTTATATATTTAGTGGTCAGCAAGTGATTGTGTATATATATACGGTACAGTGATTTTGCACTATGTTGAATATTTGTCATAAAATGTGTAATATTTTACATTCCAATGGTTTTTCATTGCTCTGAAGGTTGGTTTATGTAGCTTCTTCTGTCTTCTTTATTAATAACGTGGAAAACCCGAGCTAAGAATATAACCGGACTTGAGGTCAGGAATTAGCACGTCAGCATATAATAAGGATTCCAATAGTCGTAAAACTTGACTGATTTTAAATCTCTGAGAGTATGAATATTGTTTCTAAACATTAAAACATTCAGTTTTCTTAAGCATTCGTTGTGTGAATTGCATTCCATTGTCATGTAATGATATTATACAAATGAATATATGCATATTGACAAATGAGTTTGATAGGGTTGCGTTCGTTGTAAATTTGTATTTGAATAAGAAAAGTCAATATAAAAATACTTTGATACGTTAAATTATGCCATTAATACATTTAAGACTTCGCTTTCTAAAGATACATCATACACACCACTTACATGGTATATATACATGATTATGCTTCAAAGTACGGTACGTCAAAAACATAGCATGATTAAGAAAAGTAATAAAGATATTTTACAAACATGTATCAGTGATAGTCGTACAAAAATTGTATGCATTTGGATATTTTTAATTATATTTTCCAAAATGTTATGACATAAACGTATGTATACATACATGGGCGTATATAATCGCCTTTAAATAATGTACATACCGTGATGTATTACTTTCAAGGTTTACCACACTGATCAGTATCTTTCATTCGCCTTCACATTTCATGCTGATCGCTTCACTTAATTCTTCTCCTTATACTAAATTTGTTATATTACCGTTAAATACGTCATGTAGACTTAATATGACCCAAATACGTGATATGGTTTTATTTACCTTTAAATACGTCATATGGTTATATTTACTTTTATATACGTCATATGGTTTTATTTACCTTTAAATACGTCATATGGTTTATTAACCTTTAAATACGTGACATGGTTTATTTACCTTTAAATACGTGACATGGTTTATTTACCTTTAAATACGTGATATGGTTTTATTTACCTTTAAATACGTGATATGGTTTTAACTACCTTTAAATACGTGATATGGTTTTATCAACCTTTCAATACGTCCCGTATATTTTACATGCCTCAATATATATGGCTTAAATACGTCACACACACACACATTACAGATACTGCACATGTGTTCGATATGTCATAATACTTTACATGGTAAGATACGTTTTAAGGACAGTTCATGTTCAATATACGTGATACAGATATATTTACATTTCTACTGTACTTGGACTCAATATACCTACCAAGGAATATGATGGTTATTTTTGCGTAAACTTTTTCAGTTGGCGTATGAACACGTCAACAAATTAGTGCAGGAAGTAGTCCCTTTTATAATTTGGTAAACTTATTTTTTCAGCAGTTATAGATTAAATAAACATATCTTATGTGTTTGTTGTTATAACATTATAATCAGTACAAAACACATACAACTATATTTACATTTCTACTGAACTTGGACTCAATATACCTACTTAACATTTTAGAGGTTATTTTCCAATGAACTTTTCAGATGACGTATGAATACATCAGCATATTATCAACCTGATTACTCTGTTATTCCGCGGAGCGCGGGAAGTAGTTCCATTCATAGATTGTTTTCAATTTGTTTTTTTTGTCAGAAGTATTCAATTGAATTCAAAAAATAATTACATCTTAATTTGCTTATTCATCTTACCAGGACGACATCTCACATGGAGTGATGACGTCATAAGTTTTGATACCTTCCGTGATGTTAGACTTGCACAAGACCGATATTTTAGAAATTATCCGAACAAATATCAATATCGCTCTGAATGTAAATATAAGGATACAAATTCAAAATGAACTGCTTTGCAGTTCACAAAATTTGTCTCAAGACCCATTGAGGTTTATACCCCATAAACCTCAACAAAACAGAATTCAATCCTTAAGTACTTATCTCAAGAGGACGCCATCACACATTTAGTAATGACGTCACGTACGTTGGCGCCTTCCAAGTTTTCCAAAAAATCATATCAAAATCGTACGGAATGTAAATATAAAGATTGAATCATGTTGTATTGGGAGCTATATGTATTAACTTCGCAGTTCATTTAATTTGTCTCAAAGACCATGGAGGTTTAAAACCAATAGGTCTCAACAAGACATGCTCCAATCCTTAAACAACATGATATATGTATGTAATGGGGACATTTTACATCATCAAGATTCGTCATACAGACTTTAAGTTCCTTTAGATATGCGGAACATCCAATTTACATATTCTAGATATATCATTATCTGTAACCATTTAAAAACAAAATTCATTTAGAAACACAAATTTGCTATAGTAAAGGAAGGTTACAGTTTATACGAAAAAACAACAGTGAGGTTGGATAGGGATCGTTATGAGAATTTCTCTGTGACCGAGTCAGTTCATGTAAAAGGCGGTTAAGAGATTCATCCTTCCTTGATCAGTTCATCCCCGAGCCCTTTTTTTCTTTTAGCGAAAGCAAGGTTCGCGAACAGTATTCAGGTTTCTTCATGAGAGCCTAGTCTCTTTCAATAAAGCCTAATCGGTAACAATGATTGATGCGGTTCAGCAATCACGGTTATAGTTAAACAACCTAGTTACTTGTCCAGGTTCATAATTCTTTAAATTGCTTATTATCCGTTGATTTAAACAAAAAAACTTATAATGTCATTTCACGCAAGTATTGTAATGCTAAATTTTTTATTTTTTGCAGGAAATTGGTACAGACAAACCCTCACAAACATTTCCATACAAACGCCAGATGGAAAGCATTGATTTTAATATGGCAAATCGTAATAACTTGGGATTGTCCTACAGTGAAGGGGTACAACCCGCTCTAATGTTTAGGGATGGTGGTGTGTACAACGTTTCAGTGAGCGTCATGTATGACGAAAAATACTGCAGAGGTAGCTATCCTTCAGGAACGATTCACTTGCGCATAGAGAGGGCTGAAGACAGATCCAAGGTCGGCAACGATTTCAGCGATTCTTTTAGTAGACATGCGGACAAAACATGGTATGTTTACGGTGTGATATCAACGAAAATAGAAATGCAGCGAGGGAATGGATTAAGGTTTATTACTGACTATCGTGATTGCATCAAAGCAGACGAATCAAACTTGGAGATGGAAAAGCTCAGTCAACTTTGACATTGAAGATGCTCGATTTACGCATGATCAACTCGCATCATACAAACACAATCAAAAACTCACTCCGGCTTCATCAACTCGCATAATACAAACACAATCAAAAAATCACTCCGGCTTCATAAACCCGCATAATACAAACACAATCAAAAACTCACTCCGGCTTCATCAACTCGTATCATACAAACACAATCAAAACTCACTCCGGCTTCATCAACTCGCATCATACAAACACAATCAAAATCTCACTCCGGCATCATCAACTCGTATAATACAAACACAATCAAAAACTCACTCCGGCTTCATCAACTCGCATCATACAAACACAATCCAAAACTCACTCCGGCTTCATCAGCTCGCATCACACAAACCCAATCAAAAACTCACTCCGGCTTAATCAGCTCGCATCATACAAACACAATCAAAAACTCACTCCGGCTTCATCAGCTCGCATCACACAAACACAATCAAAAACTCACTCCGGCTTCATCAACTCGTATAATACAAACACAATCAAAAACTCACTCTGGGTATGTTTTGAAATATTTTATAATTGGTTTTGGTCGTCTGTGGGATAGAAAGACTGAAATATATAGTTTTAACACTAGTCAACAGAATTATGCAGTTAAAAAATGACAAATGAAATTGTCAAAAAAAAGAAATGGAATCCAGGTTGACACAAGGTTACAGTGACGAAATTGAGGGATATTCCTTACAATTAAACGAGATGACGAAACCAGTAGTTGTTTGTAGAAAGTATTTTAAATGTACCTAATAAATCAAAGTGCGATTGTTACCAGGGACCGGCGGTGACCGGCATTGATGTATGAGGAGAGTGGGTGTACGATTCTGTGTGATATCCCATTACCTTATTTCGCTACCTGTGGAGAGCATTTAGTGATATCTGGCGTATGAATGGCATGTTTAAACAAATACAGAATGGTTGATGAAATATTACGTAAAATTACATCATGAATGCAAAGTCGGTCATACAATCTGAGGCCAGTCATTGGGGGCATTTATCAGTAAATGTGCTTTTGTTGGTACATACAAAGAAAGTATTCATGACAATTATGCATTTATGACAATAATAGGGTAAAGCAAAAAGGAAGGGACTTTATATAGATATAGATATATATATGCCAGATAAAAACTCTTCTTTGACTCTTCATGTGTTGACTATGGCATAGCAACAAAACAATTGATCATATTAGTATATAAGTTCATCATTTTTTTTATACCGTACTGAGTCGAACTAAGAACCATTTGTATGCGTCAACTAACTGTGGCCCCATTCATAGTCATTTTTAATGTCAAATTATGCATTGTTTGTGACGCCTTTGGCGAGGGGACACCAGTCTCTTACATATGTATATAGATTTATTATCTGTCCTGTCAAATGTGATCAACTTAGATCATTTATTCTGTTGTGATATGATCAACTGTCTCAAACTTGAATTGATATCAGATATAGATCTAAAGAATAAATTTTAAAATGTTAACTATGTTCTTTTAAGTACTTAAAAATATTAATTCCGTTTTGATATTGAACATTCTTATTTTTACTTTACTAATTATGAAGCTAGAGATGCGTGTTTGCAATTTAAACTGTAAGTTGTTTAAATCATATTATTCGAAAACGAAAAATTTACAATGGAGCAATTCTTTTTAGAAAATAAAAGTATCAATGATATATTTCACGTATTAGAGGGAGGACAAAGAGGGATTAATGTCAGTTTGACATTTTTCTAGTTTGGTTCTTTCTTTTTTTTTTTAGATAATTATACATATATTTTTGTAAAGAATGTTTTATGTCAATAACCTTAAAATTAAGTTAATATATGTATTTGTATGCCATTATCATGTTTCAAATTTTCATATTAAGAATGCATGGACGTGCCAGCATGTTGTACTTGAATGCAGCATTGTCTAAATGTTTTAAGTTTAAGCCTGTCAGGACCTGACAATGATGACGCCATTTAATATTTTCAGCAGTATATCAAAATATGTTTTTCGTATAAACACGGCCTTGTTAAAGTCACATCATCATACATTTTCCCCATCTTTTTACTACCTGGTCGCGTTGGCGTGACTCCGTCCGCCATTTTGACGTACAGCGACACCCCGTCTCCTAGGTGTGTTACGCCGTGCTTACACGAACAACTACGGTTATAGATTTTAGATTTTCTCACTGAATCTGTTTAGATTTTTTCTATTAATTCACAGTATGAAATGTGTTATTGTATTTTGTAATAGTTTTGTACTTTAAGCATATTATTAAAGTTATAACATAAAATGAAAGGTTTCTTTATTATTGTAACATTTAATACGATGCCTATTTACCTAGTAAGAAGCGTAATATGTGACAAAGAGTTTTACAATGTTCTGCAAGCCTTGAGAACCGGACGATGGACTTGATGAATAAAGCGAACGCAACATCACATCTCTTACATCTGGGATACATTACAACCGAAATGTGTGACATTTTACTGTCCGACTGTAGTGTATATTTGCGATAATAACAGTTACGGTTTTTTGGCCTTTTTTTATTATGACGCAACAATCCCCCATATTTTGTATTTCGGCATCATTTGTTTGTGTTTAAAAGTTTAAAAAATAAATGAAATTACTAGTGCGAATTGAAGGATAAAACAATTCATATGGTGTCTTATTTGCAAAGCATAGCTGTACTGTACACGTGTACAGGAGTTTGATGACATGATTCCATAGAAGATAAATCATTATGTATATCATCAAAATATCAATAAAATGTTCAGAAATATATTTCATTACTTAGTTAAGGAAAAACATCGCATGTTTAAATGTGAAAAAGGTGAATCTGAACGTGGATTCGATTTTGCACTGTTCACTTCTTCTGGTCAAAAATAAACTGCGTTACACATTCGCCTACACTAAATATAGAAATGCAATCTGTTTCAACCCAAGAAAAGGTTTTGAGAAACCAGATCAACCATATTTTTGCACTACTTTGAGCACCTTCACAAACAGCCAAAGGAGGACAACTTTCCCATCATACGATTTATTTTTGCATATTACATCACGGATTCAAAAATTGCATTCAAAAGTTGGTCCTCGGATGGGAAAGTGATGAAAGTAATTATTCAAAGTCTAGGAAACCTCATCACTTGCATAGATATAGTGAATATTGCTAAAGCAGTATCCTATTAACAATACCTAATATCTCAGCAGTTCACAAATTCATAATCAGTTGGTTTGATATCTATTCCATGCATTTTCGCTACTAGACATTATTTACTCATTGAATGTTTTTCATAAATTCCGACTTGGGGGAAATATGAACAGTTTTCCGTCATAGCTCTTAATTAAGTACATATTTTAGCTTTTTAGTCATTGTACATCATGTATGTATGATAAACAGACAATTAAGTGCTTGTTTATTGTCTTATTTCATCAGTTTTATACCCCCCAAAATGTATGAAAACTTAAAGATTATATATCCAAAAAATAACTTACATTATATCACATACACAGAAAAGCGAAAATAACAGCCTAAAATTTGATAAACAGACAATTAAGTGTTTATTTATTATCTTATTTCATCAGTTTAATACCCCCTAAAATTTATTGAAACTTATGAAATAGATATCTACAGAAAAGCTACAAGTCAGACAGGTAACTTTCACACAGGAAAGTTACCTGTGGGGTAAGTATGAAACAGACTATAATTGGTTTGCCATTGTTTTCCTATATCAACACTTTTTTGTTTCTAAACGTAAGGGAACTGAGAACAACCCCCGTTCATGCTTTGATAGGTAAGTCTCCGTCTTCCTGTCTTGATCATAGGCGGCTTACAAGTTAATTATGAAGCATATCTTTGTCTGCACTGTCGCTATTACTTCTTTGCTTATATATATTTTTAAGTAATACGTATCAAACAAGCCTGTGTGTGTTCGGGTCCAGTGCCAATATTAGATTATACCGTCGTTATCATATATGAGATCTCTATAGATGAGTTTAAAAACATAAAATTGTCCGTTTTCAAATCATATGAGTTGTTCTTTTTGCGAACTTTATAAATCTTACAAGCACGTAACTGTGATATTGATTACTCTAAATTAACGAGAATTAAACATTCTAATCATAAGCAAAACTTCATAAACTCAGAAAAGGTTAATCAATTAATCTACAATGTCTATGACTTTTTTTAGGAAGACTTTAATCTAAGCTATATTTCAGTCAGAAAATAATCCAGTACACGTACAGAGATACGGGAATCCATGATAAGACAAATAAAAAACATGAACTTTTGATGCATAGTTGCCGGTTATTGAATACTAATCTCATTCCCATATTCTGACAAAGTACAAGTCTGAATTGCCTTCATAGATACTGACAGGAAATATGTCAGTGCTAGAGAAAACAAAGTGTCAAGAACAATAGAAAAAAGAGGTAAAAAGTATTGCACTGCAGACAACGAATCAATATTGATATTTGTTTTGTCCCTTAAAGAAAAGTAATAATAATTCCGATTGTTACTGGGCTATCAAAATTTACGTTTCGAATCTGCGGACTACTTTTTACTCATCACTAAAATAACAGTACATTTCCCTTTCTTCAAATTACATGTAAGCTGTATGAAGAATATGCTAACTGGCTAAATTGAACACTAAGTATAAGTGACTGTTTTTATCATAAAGTACATTTAAAATGCATTTTATTATATGTCTATAAAAGAGGTACATATAATTTTGATCTGAAATGCNCCCCCCCCCCCCCCCCGGATAACAAATAACAATGTTTTTTCGTTTCAAAGAAAATATTTCAATGACATTTTCAGTTGTTCATTATGACATCATATACATCACTTAGGCACTTCAGACAATAATAATTATAATAATAATTCGAGGTTCTTATATACTGCTTCATTACAACCTAGTTCGTAGGTCGTCTCAAAGCGGTTCACAAATTATTACCCGTGTTATAGGGCCTTCGCAAGCAGTCAATATCTTTCTTAGCTCCCTGTGGAGCATACAGCCGGTGCTGCCATTTAGGCGCTCACAGCTAGTATTCAACAATTCTAGCACTACCCAACAACGTACTCATATACGGCTGAGTAGACTGGAACAAACGGTATCTTGCTCAAAGATACAACACAGTGCTGTGACGTGAGTCGAATCCGCAAGCCTTTGGTCACGCGATCGGCGTCCTACCACTAGACTACCGTGCCTCCAACCATGCTTCAAGTTTCATTTTTTTTTATTTCCGAATGCAAATCAGCATAAATGTTAATTGATACATAGAAAACAAAACATATTTCAAATTTTCAAGATGGCGGAGGACAATTCCATATAATTATCACATAAAAAGAATACATAATTTAGCAATATTACTGCACGAGGGTTTTTCTTTTGGCGGTAGCATATTTTAATTATAGACCCAATCTACGTAGTGTTTTATTTTACATGACAATAATTCAATTAATTTATACACACTGGGGCATCGGAAGTAATATTGCTTAATGTATATGTTTCTCAATACAGAGTAAGCAGGACAAATAAGAATAAAATGTATCTCATCTTCTAAATCATTTTTGTCACAGGCAAAACATAATCTTTGATCTCTCGGAACCCCATTATAACGTCCAGATTCGATATTAAGGGAATGCGCCTGCATGCGATATTGACTCAACATTTTTTTGGTATTAAATGTTAAAGGCTTTACTAAATAGAATTGCATATTAAAAGTATCGACAAGATGTCTATATAAATAACATTTAGAAGATGTTTCAAACGCACCACGTAGTTCCTGAATAAATACGTCATGCAGACGTTGGGTATACATTTCCACAAATTGTTTTTCATTTGGAACATATTGAACATCCCAAATATGATTAAAACCCATTCTATATAAATCATTTTTAACATGATAAACCCAGTTAAGTTTACAATTCGGCTTTTTGACATTAAGCTCAAGTAGTGCATCATAGCATGCTTTTAGTACACAGTTATTTGTATTCAAAATATTTAACCAGTATTTAATTATAGCTACTTTGCGCTTTATATGTAAGGAATAACTTCCTGTCTCAAAGTAAACCATAGAACTATTGACGGTTTTCTTAACGTTTAATAAATCTTTAAGAAAGAGAAGATGGACTTTTTCGATTTGCGGCGATAAACAATTACCCCATACCTCACATCCATAGTTCAGTATGCATGTCACATATGTATCAAACAAAGATAATTTAGTTTCAGTATTAAGGATAAAATCTTTCATTCTTCTTTTTAAAAGATAAAAAGCATTCCTGCCTTGAGATGCCAACGTGTTTTGTGCTACGGTGAATCTTCCATTATAATAAAAAACTAATCCTAGATAACAAAATTTGTCCACTANAGTTCATAACCTTGACAATTGGAATTTAAAAACTCACTCTCCATATCATTAACGAATAATGAAAAAAGCATGGGCGATAACGATTCCCCTTGTAATACACCGACATGTACATCGAACATAGTAGACAATTTACCATTTAAATTTATGCAAGAACGTACATTATCATAAATAGATCTAATTACATTTAGCAGTCTGCCACTAACACCACTTTTCCAAAGTTTATACCAAAGTTTATCATATGTTACACTATCAAAAGCTTTGCTGTTATCTACACATACGCAATACAGCCTTTTGTCTTGTTCTAATATATTAATTATTAAACTATGTAATGTAAAAATAGCATCCCTGGTACCAAACCCAGGTTTAAAACCAAATTGGACATCGGTAACAATATCCTCTCTTGTACTCCATTTTAATAATCTTTTATTTAACAAGGAAGTAAATAACTTAGCTAGATGACTAATTAATGTTATTCCCCTGTAATTATTCACATTGTTTTTATCCCCCTTTTTATGAAGAGGTATAATAACACCCTGCGCCCAGGACTCTGGAAAATATCCTACATGTAACATAGAATTAAATAACCTGATCAAAACAGGGGAAAAAATATCTCTATATTCAATTATGTATTCGTTAAGTAACATATCAGTACCAGCCGACTTGTCACGAGACAAACCCCTAATTACATCTGTTAATTCCTCAATGCTAAAATCCACATCTAACTCTGGATAAACACAATCAGTATTTCTATCAATCAAACTATGACCTCGACTTTCGACGATAGGTACATCAGCGAGACCTTTGAAGTATTGAAAAAAATCAGTTAACGATAAATTACCCGTATAACAGGCCTTCCGCTTAGAAAAAATACGGTAAAATTCTTTATACTGTTTTTTGGCTTGCGCAAGGCTTACTCTGTTTGTCAATGACCGGTCTACATTAAAACTCAATAACACAATTTTATATTTATTATACAACAATCTACAAGTATCATCGAACCAAGGTTTATCTGGCCCTTAGATATTGAGGAAATCACCACTTAATGACATGGTAATGTATGGTGGCATAAGACGGAGGTTACAGTAGGTGATCATTTTGTACTATTCACTAAGTATATCGTTATAATAATTTTCCAGTAAAGTAGGCTCTAAAGACAATTAATCTTTAACGGTGATTCAAATAGTTGTTCATTATAGCGATTCAAATTATGGGGCAATATATTTCAATATACACTACCTTTTATAAATAAGCCCAAATGACGCTTGTCAAAAATATAAAGGAAATTCACACTGTGCTGTGCTAATTATACAAACTTGGGCATAGGGTTAAGTCTAGAATTAGTCGATACTCCACAGATATATCTTCATGCTGAATATTTACCTTGAGTAATACTTTAGTCTGCATTAACTATGTACTAATGCAAAACTGTATTAAAATGTTTCCATAAGCCTTAATCATGAATGGCTGTTACAAATGTAACAAATACTTGAATGTCTGTCTGAATAGATTGATATTACATGGTGCTATATAACAATATACATGAATGGGTATTACGGGTGTATTTATATCATTAGATAATCCACGCATATATATAAATAGCCAGGACGAAATCAAGGAAATACTACATGAACATTTGTATATATCAATAGGTAAAGCATAAAAAGCATATCTGTTTTCATTTATACTGAAGACATTAAGGTTGTAACATGGCATGGGAGAATAAAGAAATGTTCGAGGATGCCACAGAGTCCCAGACAAAGATTGACAAGGAGTTTAAATCTGATGAAGCAGACCATGACAAGTCTACTGGCGGAGAGGATATTTGTTGTTTAAAGTCTGTCTCATCTGACCCACTGAGCACATATCCTGCTGAGAAAGGACATTGTGTTGAAGGATGTAAGGAGTGTAAAGTCACAGTGGGGTGTGTCATAATTATCGGTTTAGGGACAATCGCTATGGGAGTGGCGACCTTGTGCCTCTGCCTCTCCGTGTCATCTACGAAAGATATCAAATTTTCATACAATGGGCCACAAAACGATACTACAAAGTCAACAATACCCTTACAGGTACCAGTTGATTTTATACCGTTCAGTTGTAATTATTCACCTAACACTAACATAATTCGTACGTTGATGGTTTCTATAAACTGAACAAAACCAATGTTGTAATTAACACTGACGCTTACTTTTGTTCTCAAAGACCCCGATTATAACGCTTACTAAGATATACTGCAACGTGTTTACTAGCACTGGCTGTTAGGCTACTACAGTAACAATGTTGCTATTTACATTGGCTGTTACTATAATTACTGCAGTAACAATGTTGCTACTAACACTGAATGTTACTATAATTCCTACAGTAACAATGTTGTCACAAACACTGAATGGTACTATAATACTTCCAGTTATAACATTGTTACTAAAACTGAATGTAACTATAAATACTCAAGTAACAATGTTGTTACTCACGCTGAATGTTATTATCACTACTGCGGTAACAATGTTGTTTACACTTACCTTTACTATAGTTATATACTGTAATTACTGAAGTAACAATTATGTAATTAACTATTACGATCACCCAGATATACGTCAGTTATAATGTTGTAACAAACAATGAATAATGTTACTATAATAACTATTGTTACAATGTTGTTACTAAAACTGAATGTTACTGTAATTACTTGAGTAGTAACGTTATTTACACTAGTTGTTACTATAATTTCTGCAGAAACAACGTTGTTACTAACACTGAATAGTCCTAAAATACTTGTAGCAATAACGTTGTTACTAATACTGATTGTTACGATAATGACTGCCGTAACAATGTGGTTGCTCACACTGAATGTTACTGTAATGACTGAAGTAACAACACTGTTACTACTAACACTGAATGTTACTAACACTGCATGTTACTATAACTACTGAAGTAACAAAGTTGTTAATAACACTGAATGTTACTAACACTGCATGTTACTGTAACTACTGAAGTAACAAAGTTGTTAATAACACTGAATGTTACTAACACTGCATGTTTCTATAACTACTGAAGTAACAAAGTTGTTAATAACACTGAATGTTACTAACACTGCATGTTTCTATAACTACTGAAGTAACAAAGTTATTACTAACACTGAATGTTACTTACACTAGATGTTACTATAAATACTGGAGTTACAAAGTTGTTATTAACACTGACTGTTACGACGGTAACTACAGAAACAAGGTGTAATAAACACTAACGCTTACTCTTATTACCAAAGGCGTACAATATTATTTATTTTTTATTCTATCTGGCATTTTTGTCAGTATATAGTTTAAATGATTGACGTCGAAGAGCAAAATCATATCGATAGTGTTACTGTTATCTTTACAGCCGATGGACGTTTATCCTGTTTCGCGTTTCTATTAATAAACTGAAAATTTTTACTATAACACCAACGCAGTTTTAAAAGTCTACGCTTAGCAAGTTTGAATGCATATTAATGTAGATTTTATTTCGCTCCAATGAAGACATTCCGATCATACTAGACGATTTAAATGTTTGGTGTGTTCACCGAGTTAGAAATTGGATTACCCGAGTTAAAAATATAAATGGATATGGGGTGAACAATGCGATACAAAAATTAAAAAAAAAAAACTTGTAGTGTTTATTAATGAGTATGAAATATTTTTTAGTATGCATTTCTATCAAACATATAAAATACAAATATCATACATGGTGTTGTAATGTTTGCTTTGCAGGACTCATTTAAAAACATGTTCAATTGTCTGTGTTTGAAATAAATATTAATCAATACTCGACATACATAGTTACGACCCAACTACACTTCCTTTAAGTATGGTTAGTTTTGTGTAAATCTAGTAGTTTACATGTTGCTCCCACTGTGACTTTGACCTTGATGCCATAACAGATATTGTTTCGGATTTTGTTTCCATTGGTAATCATGGTCTCGAAAGACAATCAGTGCGTATTTGGTCCCATTTAATTAAGTCAAATTTACAATGTACTCACTCCTGCGCCGAAAGTAATCTTACTCATATTATTTATAACCGACATTTTATCTACATGTATATTCCATTTCAATTAAACCGTTTATAATGATATAGACAACATTGGTATATAGCTGAAGATGAATATAAGATAATACAAATGTACAAGAGTAAGATGAACACCTATGCCCGGTTGCTGAAAGCTTGTAAGTTAGGGAAATGTTAGATATGAAGCGAACACAATTAAAAGCATGCGATTTCATTTTATTGCCATAGATTGGTTGGGACAAATAAGATTGGTGCGTTTTGAGGATTTATTTTGATTTGAAGCATTTTCTTCTGTTTGGTTCAATATGACTTTTTTCACTAACCTATTGGTAAAATTTACCAACCTTTAAGCAACTGGGGCCTGAGTGTTTTATATCAACATTTTACAGTTAACATTGTACCGTTACACTGAATTGATTTCCTGAATATACATCTTCACTTCCATATGTCTTTAAACGATTATATTGTGATGACGAGAAAACAGGCTGACAACTTTTCTTGATTACGATTGATTTAAGCTCATTCAATATAGTACATCATCCGTTCAAAATATTTGAATATAAGACACATTTATTTTGAGAACGAGCTGACATGAAGCATCTAAAAACCGGAAGGTATTTTGATTGATTCTGTGCCTTAAAACTAACCATTTTAGGATTAGTTTTAAACAGTTGTGATTTCCTTTGTGTTCATTAATTGCAGGTTAAACGTAAGCATGGTTAGTTTTACTTAAATACGCTCGTAGATTTTTTTAATAATTCGCACTATTTTTAAGTCCAGCAATTTTGATGTTACAGAATGCCACCGATACACAACGCAGACCCCAGTATCAGGCGCTTTCGCAAGGTAATTCGTAAATGTTGTCTCCCAACTTGCTTATTTCCTATGTGTCATTCTTGTTTTGCAAACACAAAGTTAATAAATGCATAACACCTGAGGTGGGTGTTCCAATTGTTAAAAAAGTCCTTAAGAACTCTTTAAAAACTCTTCAAAACAAATTGCTTTTGTTGTCAGACATATAAGTTGCTGTTAGAACATAACATATTTAATTGTCAAAATAAGCACATTGACGTCAGAAAATAACACATAAATGTCAGAAAAGAGCATATTGATGTCAGACTATAGCATATTAATGTTAGAAAATAGCACATTGATGTCAGAACAAAGCACATTGATGTAAAAAAAATAGCACATGAATGTCAAAACAGAGCACCATATCGTCAGATCATGGAGTGTCATCGATTTGTCAAGTTGGTATAGATATGGCATGAAGGAATCAAATTGGTTTTCAAATATGGTATCGTTATGACAGAAGTTATTACACTCTTTGAATAATACATCATATTTTTTTTATTATTTTTTTTGCAGATGTTTGTGTTTCGTTTAAGGTTTACTTTTTTTTGTCTTTAAGCTGATGACACCACGATCAAGCTTTGGATGAAAGCAGAGTATATATCAACCAATTCTGGTAAGAATGGTGATTGTTTGTCAATGTCATATGAAGACGTATTCTTAAAAAACACCTCCGAAAAGAAAAAGTTGGGAACTTGCTCTAGAAGAAACCATAGAGTTCTAAAGTGTTGCAAGTGGGGCAGCAGTTCAACTTTGGCTTTGTCAAAGCCCCCTAAGCAGAAGACATAGAAGAAAACTCCGATTTCGTCAGGGGACCCTCGTTAGTAGCAACAAACGATATAAAGTGGGATTTGTTTGTTTGTTTGTTTGATTTTGTTTAACGTCCTATTAACAGCTAAGGTCATTTAAGGACGGCCTCCCCTGTGTGCAAGATGCATGCGTGTAGTGTATGTGTGTGTATTTTGGGAGGCTGCGATATGTTCGTGTTTGTCTCCTTGTGATAGCGCGGAACTGATGCCGACTTTATAGTGCTACCTCACTGAAACATACTGCCGAAGACACCCAGCAGGACGCCCCACCCGGTCACATTATACTGACAACGGGCGAACCAGTCGTCCCACTCCTAATTTGCTGAGCGTTAAGCAGGAGTAGAAACTACCATTTTTAAAGACTTTGGTATGTCTCGGCTAAGGGACAGAACCCAAAGCCTTCCTCACAGGGGCGAACGCTCAACAAATGGCCAAAAGTGAAGCATTGTCAAGGGAGACATTAGGAAGAAGAAAGTTATTTAGAAAGGAGAGAAGAGATAAGGTCCCAAATTTAGTCGCCTCTTACGATCATGCAAAAGTGGGATACAGAAGGCCTGTTATGTTTTCCTGAACCTTCGTGGGTTGGTAGGAATGGTAGGAATATCCGTGCACGATTTCCATCTTGATGTTCCTGTTTGATAATTCCAAAATAAAGTATATAACTAGGAGGATACGACGCTGGTTTACAAAAAGCACTTCAGATTCTGTTTATAATTACAGTTTATTATGCAATTGATAGTAGTGCGCGATTATCAATAATACTTTATTAGCCTCATTGGACATACTGAAATAAAGAATATGACAGTGAATAAATGTTATGAAATTTTGAATACTATGGTTGCATAATTAACAGACTGACATTTTGTCGTCTCTTTTCTTTTTTTAGAATACCAGATACTATGGAGATCCATGTCCACCAATAACGGTTCAGCTACGATACAGCTTACTCAATCGTCCATACGTTTCCGAGTACCAATATCCGGCGAGTACAACATATTGGCATCATTCCAAGTAATGGGACGGATGTGCAGAAGTATTCGCAATTCAAATTATATTTCAATAAGACTATGTATTCAACACGAACATAAACTTGTTAAATGTATAAAGGAATCTTTCCCGATGTCCTCTGCCGAGTGGTGGGTTCGTACTTTATATATAATAGTTCCTGCTCTTTCCATGGAAGCAGGAAATACCGTGTCATTTGTAAATAGCAATCCTGACTGTATCTATGACGACCCAAAAGTGTCTCTCATAGAAATTCACCGTATTCACTAAATGCGCTCAAAAGATTTACTAACGTGTGTGTTATTGTTACTTTTTGATGTATACAACATATGCAGGAGAAGGTGTTCCTGCAGCTAGTTATATAGTACTGTAAAAAAGTTTCAAATCAAATTTTAACAGAATAAAGTGCGAAAAGCGCTAAAATAAAACTCCGTTAAAATATGTACGTTTCCATGATATCATTCAGTACCCTGTATGTCTCTGTCTCTGTCTTTCCTGGTCTCTCTGTCTCCGTCTCTCTCTCTCTCTTTCGTGATATTTACTTACGTTTCCATGTCAAACATCAAAAACCCTACGAGAGGTTGTGTAATATACTGATAAAAGCAATGTTATACTATCGTGATAGTTTGTGCCAAATTTCATTCCAACTATTTTATAACAATCAAAGGTCGTTATTATATCAATGACAAATCAAACGTTTGTTGGAGAAATTTTAATCACTTTGTCGAGTTGACGTTTCTGATAAAGTTTAGATGTACATTTCAGTTCCATCGATAACTTACCAGTACATTAATTGCAATATTATGACCAATGCTACTTAAATCTTTAAGATATTAAAAGATGAATACGCCTTTATCGTTTACAACATTTATTTAAAAAAAAAACATATAAAAAAATATATACCAAAGCGCAAGTATATTCAATAATAAGTATATTCAATAATAAAGTATATTCAATAATAAAGTATATATGCATACAAACTATATTAGGAATCGTTTGAAAGTATTTAATGTTTTTAATGAAAATGTTCCCGTTCCCACTGTACTGTGTAATACTACAGTAACTTCTCCTTAGTTTCGTTTCGGATTAAATTTAGTACAGTTGGGCCAGGATACCTGTTCGCGTGGTACACATGTAACTCCGATGTTTGACCAGGATACCTGTTCACCAGGTACACATGTAACTCCGATGTTTGACCAGGATACCTGTTCACCAGGTACACATGTAACTCCGATGTTTGACCAGGATACCTGTTCACCAGGTACACATGTAACTCCGATGTTTGACCAGGATACCTGTTCACCAGGTACACATGTAACTCCGATGTTTGACCAGGATACCTGTTCACCAGGTACACATGTAACTCCGATGTTTGACCAGGATACCTGTTCACCAGGTACACATGTAACTCCGATGTTTGACCAGGATACCTGTTCACCAGGTACACATGTAACTCCGATGTTTGACCAGGATACCTGTTCACCAGGTACACATGTAACTCCGATGTTTGACCAGGATACCTGTTCACCAGGTACGCATGTAACTCCGATGTTGGGCCAGGACACATGTTCACCAGGTACACATGTAACTCCGATGTTTGACCAGGATACCTGTTCACCAGGTACACATGTAACTCCGATGTTGGGCCAGGATACCTGTTCACCAGGTACACATGTATCTCCGATGTTGGGCCAGGATACCTGTTCACCAGGTATACATGTAACTCCGATGTTGGGCCAGGATACCTGTTCACAAGGTACACATTTAACTCCGATATTGGGCCAGGATACCTGTTTAGGTACACATGTAACTCCGATGTTGGGCCAGGATACCTGTTCACAAGCTTAAGGTACACAAGGTACTCCGATGTTGGGCTAGGATACCTGTTCACAAGGTACACAAGGTACTCCGATGTTGGGCCAGGATACCTGTTCACCAGGTACACATGTAACTCCGATGTTGGGCCAGGGTACCTGTTCACCAGGTACACATGTAACTCCGATGTTGGGACAGGATACCTGTTCGCATGGTACACATGTAACTCCGATGTCGGGCAAGGATACCTGTTCACCAGGTACACATGTAACTCCGATGTTGGGCCAGGGTACCTGTTCACCAGATACACATGTAACTCCGATGTTGGGCCAGGATACCTGTTCACCAGGTACACATGTAACTCAGATGTTGGACCAGGATACCTGTTCACAAGGTGCACATGTATCTCCGATGTTGGGCCAAGATACCTGTTCACCAGGTACACATGTAACTCCGATGTCGGGCCAGGATACCTGTTCACCAGGTACACATGTATCTCCGATGTTGGGCCAGGATACCTGTTCACCAGGTACGCATGTAACTCCGATGTTGCCTATACTTTGTTTATTTCTTCTTATCCTGGAATATAGTTTTTTCAGAACTGATTTATTAAAGCTATAGTCATGCGAAAGATACATTCTCTAATGCATTATTACAGCTTTTGGTAGAGGTACGGGGATTCTTAAACCATATCAGTAAAGGAAAAACTGCATGTAATATTTCCGCTTAAGGCATACAATGTAAAAATGCATAACAATACATACTCATATACTTTGTTTTAATATTCATTCAAACAAATCTTTTAGATATACATGTACGCATAGCATGAAAAGATCTTAAGAATTACCAATAGATGAATGAAATCCAGTCATCAAGCTATATTTACATTCTTGATGTTTGTTCTGCATATTAATCTACCAACTGAAAACAACTGCCATTAAACCATGAATACACTTTAAATACAACGATTGTCGTGCAAGCGGTCAGCTGATTTCACACATAATGACAAATCAGTACTGTTTCTGAGAAGAGTTATCTCCCCTTCTCTGAGATAACGTGGTTGGATAATCAACATTTCAAAAATCATAAATGGTGTACCATTGTGCTATAATTATTATTTCTTTTAATTTAAAATTCAAAAAATAAGTATTTATAACATTGTCGTATCAAATACGGACTTCCGACTCGCAATCGGTTCCTCGTGGTAACGAACTTTCCAACACCAAACGTCCGGCTGCATGGGTAATCCCCGTGACATCAACATGCACATTAATCCCAGAGAACTTTGTAATGACACAGGGCACTTCATCCATCAAATTATCATATTTTACATCTGCAGTCTTTTTTAGCAAACATGATATTCAACGGCTGTACATTTAACTCCAAATGAGCTCTTTGAGCTGACCTTCATATCTTCTGAGGAGCACTAACGCACTCACTCCACAGGATATGTAGATCAGCTACTGCTATTCATTACCGGATATGTAGATCAGCTACTGCTATTCATTACCGGATATGTAGATCAGCTACTGCTATTCATTACCGGATATGTAGATCAGCTACTGCTATTCATTACCGGATATGTAGATCAGCTACTGCTATTCATTACCGGATATGTAGATCAGCTACTGCTATTCATTACCGGATATGTAGATCAGCTACTGCTATTCATTACCGGATATGTAGATCAGCTACTGCTATTCATTACCGGATATGTAGATCAGCTACTGCTATTCATTGCCGCAATGTACATGAAATAAAATCCATTCAATCCTTATATATCTAATATAAGTTACATATTAAGGTTTATAAATCTTTTACCTATTCAGTTTAATCATACTAGTAACCCACTAAGTCGAATCGTATTGCTTGCATATTCAAGCACGATACACATTTTGGAAATTACAAACCCTTTTAACATCAGTAGCAATAGTTATGGTACTGATATTAAAAGTATCATTAGATATGCAAAGAAGGATGCATCTTTTAAAAAAAAGTTGAAAAAAGTTTTAAAACAGAAGAAAGAAAAAAAAGAAAAAAAGAGGAAAAAAGAAAAAAACCCGAAAATATAGCACACAAACAAACACACACTAACAATAGTCAGTTCATACAAAGAGCGGTACAGGTTTATCGTGCCAAATGCTATTTCGTCCATTCAGGTTAAATCAGTGGTAACAAAGATCTAAAGACTTGAAATCCATATATGGAGAGGCCCAAAACATATTTAGAAGGACAATGTAAGGCACAACATTCATATAGCCCTATATAGCGTTACAACAGATCTTTTATACTGAAAAATGACTTCACATGAAAAGGGGCCAGGAAAAGTATTGATGCTAGTGGTATTTTACTGGCTATATTGAGACCTATGTAAGACACATATTTAAACTTTGTTGATGGTAGACTCATAACACAGCTTAAACAAAAACATCAAGGCTTTCCTGACATAAGTTCAAAATCGTTACAAAATTTTGATGCAACAGATAATATGAAAGTTTTACTTTCTACACAAACAATGCACGTATTAAACGTATCGCAACGTTTCAAGACCGACCAGTTTGAGTTAGCTTGACAAAGGGACCATTCGGTCTTAGCTTGACAAAGGGACCATTCGGTCTTGAAACGTTGCGATACGTTTATTACGAACAATGTTTGTGTAGAAAGTAAAACTTCGATCTTACATATTTCGAAACTGATGAATCTTATCAAAGATACAATAGATATTGTATACATGTACTTAAACGTGTATCTTTTGTAAACAGTGCAACAATAAATTTCAGATGCTAGAATTATTGTACTGACCTTGTTGATCCCTATATAATTATGTTCGATGCGAAGACAACATACGAAAAATAAACGTAAACATTATGTATTGATGGTAGTCACACGACATAAGTTAAACAAGGCTTTACTATTAACATCAATTCAACATGTGGAAACAAATGATTAATCTTTATATAATAGTTCTTTCAAAAGAATGTTAAGTTTCAAAAAATGAAATGTTGTTAAAATAAAAATAAAAAGCATAACACAAATAATAATGATAATTCGAGGTTCTTGTGTACCGCTTTATCACAACCTAGTTCGTAGGTCGTCTCCAAGCAGTTCACAAATAATTATCCGTGGTTTATAGGGCCTTCGTAACCAGCCAATACCTTTCTCAACTCCCCGGGGAGCATACAGCCGTTGCTGCCATTTCGGCGATAACAGCTGAGCATTCAACAATTATAGTACTGTCCAACCACGTACTCATTTACAGCTGAGTAGACTGGAACAAGAGGAGTGACGTATCTTGCTCAAATATACAACACAGTGCCGTGCGTGACTCGAACCCGCAACCCTTCGGTCACGATCCCGGCGTCCTACTACAAGACTACCGTACCTCCTTACTAACAAATGTAATTCATTCAACGGCATAAACACAACAATTGTTAGTAATACAACGATGGTGACGAATCCAGAACGCTATAGTCTCACTGAAAGGTCAAACTTGGACCGGTTAAAATGGCATCACCGAAAGGAAAAGTA